CTCTTTTTAATTCTGAGGCTTGTTCATTCACCCCCAGTGAATTTACGGCCCCTTGGATATCCAGGAGCCCTGGGTAGCGAAGCTCTGTGGCAGATGAGGCACAACCATTTCATAACAGCACTGAAAAATGCCCTCAAGGAACGTGCTCGCCTCCGGGACTTCGTATCGTCCGAGTCCAGCCCTAGCGAGGTTTCCCTGGTGGTTATTTCACACGGGGGGATCACGCGCAGAGGCTCACCGACCCCTGCCAGGGTGCAGAAGCATCCGGGGGCAGAAGGGGGAGTTTAGGAGGGGTCAGCAAAACTGCACGGACACCACAAGTATCATGCACAAACCCTGGCAGCATGAGTGGTGGCTTCCCCTGTGGACACACACCTCCCCTCTCCAATTCTGCACCCGCCAGAGGAGACAGGAGGAGGGAAACCTCCGCGCACCGGAGGTGCAGGGGCTGAAGCTGGACGTAGAGGTACTGCAGGAGGACAGTCTATGGTGTCTAACCTTAGTCTTCACATCTGACCATCTCCGAAAAGCACTCGGGCCCAAGTCCTCCATCTCTGAGATCTTGTTTGCTCCCAAGTGTCTAAAAGTCAGCATTTCTGCTGAGGAGAACAGAAACCCCGCTGATGAAATATGGGTGGGCTGCTTCTCCTGCCCAGGTCCAGCCCTCTCTCCAAGTTGCTGCACTGGGAGCTGCGGACGGCGATGAATTTCAGCAGCAAAAGCCGACGCACCGCAAAGCTGATGGGACTGCCAGCTTCCTGTTGGGAACTGGCTGTGCCTGTGTTTTGGTTTGGCCTGGATAAATGCCAGGTGCCCACCAAAACCGCTCTGTCACTCCCCCTCCTCAGCTGGACAGGGGAGAGGGAATATGATGAAAGGCTCAAGGGTCGAGATAAGGACAGGGAGAGATCACTCGGCAATTACTGTCACGGGCAAAACAGACTGAACTTGGGGAGAAAAGGGAGTTTAATTCATCACCAATCAAATCAGAGTAGGATAATGAGAAATAAAACCAGATCTTAAAACACCTTCCCCCCACCCCTCCTTTCTTCACTCCCATTTCTCTGTCTCCTCCCCCCAAGTGGCGCAGGGGGACAGGGAATGGGGGTTGTGGTCAGTTCATCACATGTTGTCTCTGCTGCTACTTCCTCCTCAGGGGAAGACTCCTCACACTCTTCCCCTGCTCCAGTGCGGGGTCCCTCCCATGGGAGACAGTTCTCCACAAACTTCTCCAACATGAGTCTTTCCCACAGGCTGCAGCTCTTCACGAACTGCCCCAGCGTGGGTCCTTCCCATGGGGTGCAGTCATTCAGGAACAGGCTGCTCCAGCGTGGGTCCCCCATGGGGTCACAAGCCCTGCCAGCAAACCTGCTCCAGCGTGGGCTCCT